TGAATATCGTGAAGACAGTAGTGCGAATACGTATCTCTGACTGCCGTAGCTAGCCCATGGCCAAATGCATTCCCTTTCCTCCCATCTTCCCATCTTGGGGAAGGAGAGAAGTGTAGGAGATGGGGTGGGGTGATTAAGGAGGGACGAGAAGAAGGTGAAAGGGGGTGGCAGGGTGGTGCTGGCCTTTCAGAAAGCCTGCCAAGACTCATAAGAAAGGCCAGTAGTAGCCAGGAGTGGTGGTGCACGCCGGTAATCCCAGCACTTAGAAGGCTGAGGCAGGAGGATCACTGCAAATTCAAAGCCAGCCTGGGCTACATAGTGAGTTCAAGGCCAGCCTGAGCAACATAACAAGATGCCTCCTACAGATAAAAAAAAAAAAAGAAAAAAAGAAAAGGAAAAAAAAGAAAGAAGGAACAAGAAACAAAACAAAACAAAACAAAACACAACACAACACTAGAGGAAGACCAGTAGTGTGTCAGGGCAAGTGAGAATACTCTTTGTGGGGATTAAAAGAGAAGCCACTAGAGGCCTAAGGTGGGGCTTGGTGGGAGAGGTGGTAAGAATCTACTCAGGCGCAGAAATGTGCTTTGTTTCTGCAACCACAAAAAGGTGCAAAGAGAGAAGGACTCAGCCCTTGAGTCTGTCTCCCTACCTCTGGGATGGGGCAGCCAAAGAGGAGAACTCTTGGTGAATTGTGCTCTGCAGTGCTAGGAAACACGGGCCACATCCCCTGCGCGGCCTGGCAGAATGCGCAGGATGGGCACAGCTGCTGCCCCTGGTGCTTGGTGATGGGCATCCCCACCTGCGGCCCGTTCTCTCCTCTCTTGCTTAGTTTGCAGCCTTGGCCTGGCAGGGAGCCGTGGAGCAGGCATGGTGGCAGGGCCCTCCCAGCAGTACTTAATACTCAGTGATTCTCAGGCTGTGGGGAGGGGTGGGGCAAGAAGCGAAGGGCAAAGGCCTGGCTCGAGGTTCCACACAGCAGCCGTGCTCCTCAGTCATGCCAAGCGCCACGCGCCGTGGTACCTGTCTTCTCAAGGCCTGTGCCTTTGGGCTAGCTTTGAGCCAGGATGGGGCCTCACCCTTCCGGGTGCCCAGGACTTCTTTACCACCCGGTGTGAGCGACACCAGCAGGACTGGCCAGAATAAGGTTAATGGATGGGAGTCCAAGGCTTCAACCTTTTCTTTAAGCACCACATCGCTGGGAGAGGGAAGAAGTGAGGGTGAGCAGCTCAATAGCTCTTGTTCGGGGAGGATTTATTTATTTTCTCAATGTACAAGAATTCTTTTGAAACCTCCATGGCTCCGAGAAAAACTATTTGAAAGGTCCCTTCTTACGGGGCCATGGGGTTAAGTGCCAGGGATGGAAGGCTAAATGCCAGGGATGCTGGCTCCGGGGATTCTTGGGGCAAGGCTAATGGCCTTCCTGCTGCGACCTCGGGAATACCAGGTCCAAGCACTGGTTGCCCTGAGAGATGCAACCAGTTTTACTTGAGCCTGAAGGGCACCACCTTCTGGGATTCTCCCTTGTGTGGTGGGAAACAGGGTAGAATACGCCCAAGGGACCAATGGGCCTTGCTGCCCAAGGGCGCGGAGGGCAGGGAAGTTGATGGCCCTGAGACCTGGGCTGGGTGAGAGTGGTCAGTGACTTATGCAGCTCAGAATCTGGCCCCTGCTGGTGGAAACAAGATGCGTTTTGTGAGCATGCGCCGTAACTGCTCTTCCCAAGGATGGTCTCAAAAGGTCAAAGGATGGGCCCTGAATAGCCCTAATGTCCCTGAAACAGTCCATTGTGTCCCTATTGTCTCTACATGTAAAGGAACTCTTCTCGACCCTATTCAGACTTGTCCTCTTTTTTCGGCCTCTGGAGTTTCCCAAGAAAATAACTGCATAGTACCTTATCTCTGGGCTGAATCTCTCCCCTTAAAGCTTTAACAACCAAATAGTTCAACATACATTTCTTGAACACCTACTGTGTGTCAGGAACCATGCTAAGTTGGGAGGATAAGTGGGTAAATGGCACACAGGGCACGCGCTCTTTGGGGCGTCTGCTGGGTGTTTTTCAAACGACTTCCCTTTGCAATGACCTTTGGGACTTGATAGATAAGCCTGCAATCCATCCCCTTTCTGTGTCCTGCACATGCATCATAACCCAGTCTCCTTCTTTCCATAATCTTTTTCATTTGCATCACAGGGTAACTTCTACCTGGGCCAATCTGGAAGACTTTCTTTGGACTCTGTAGCAAGTAGAGGAGCCAGAATTAAGCACTAGATTTTACACGCAAATACCGTATGAATGTGTGTCGCATCACAGGAAGCAACTTCCTGCATTTCGGCACTTGAGTTCATGCACACATCCAGAGGTTAATGAGCTCCTTTTACAATCCTGCCAGGCCCTGTGAGGCGCGGGGCATGCAGCAGTAAAGCAGATGCTGTCCTCACGGGACCTAGCGTCTGGGCCGGACTTGGAGGGAAATGGAAAGAGCCCAAGCATCACCAGGGACAGACGGCCGCAAGCCGAGGTAAGCGCTGTGGAGAAGAGAATGGTGGGACGAAGCGTACAGGTGGGGACCCTGATCTGGTCTGCAGGTCTCAGGAAAGGCTTCCCCAGGGAAATGACATTTGTGCTGACATCTGCAAGATGGGTGGGAAGAGGTGAAGTGAGCAGCAGGGAAGAACAGGCCAAGCAGAGGACAGAGTATGGGGGCGGCCCTGAGGTGGAAGGAACCGGGCGTCCTCGGGCCCTGCAGGAAGACCTGGAGGCTGGCGCAGGGGCTGGGGCAGAGCGCTGTGTGGGATGGGCCTGCAGAGCAGCCAGAGCACTCAATGCAGGATCAGCAGGACTCACAAGGATCCAGACTCCCCACGTGGACACTGATGGGCGAGCCGGAAGCGGCTGTTCCCTCAGGTACTAGTGCCGCTTCTACTTGTCCTGAAGGAGCAGTTATAACAGTTGGAACTGCTGGGAACCTTCCTGCTGTCCTAGCACCATGAGGCACTGCCTGGCTGGCAGGAAGGGCCCTGCCCCCAAGCAATGGATCAGCCCCAGCCTACAGCCCGCAGGCAAGGGACAGAGGGGCAGGGTGGAGGGTGGGTGGAGTTCTCTGCCCAAGGTATCAGCTTCACAGTGGCGCTGGAACAACCCCAAGAGATAGTCCCTGTTCCTGTTCCTAGATAACTCTACCGTGTGCACCCTTCCCCCAGCCCCCGAAGTGATCTGGAAGCCCTGCTGGCTTCCTGCAGCTGGGCTCCACGCCCAATCTGGGGAGGCCCTGGAGAAGGAGCTCCCCTGGGGCTCGCCCACTAGCCTGGGCCACCGTCCTGTCCTACATGTTCATAGTCTTCTCCGTGTGCAGAGGTACTGGCAGTGCCATGAGAGTGGGGGTCTGGACTCTGCTTTCCCGATGTCCCTTCTGTGCTCCCAGATATCTCTTCCGAGCATGTGGTTTGGTGTAGTGACATCTGCTGGCAAGGCTGGGCCAGAACAAAATGACCAGGTGCCCACTCAGCCTTGTGACATTTCCAGCCTGGTGAGAAAATCACCCTCCAACCCCAAGGCTGGGCTGGGGTCAGAAACCTCCACAGTGGGAGAGCAAGGCTGGGCCAGCCAGGCCTGGGCTCTGCTGGGTACGCTCCGCTGCGGGAAGTAGAGGAAATGCTTTTGCTCCCTGTGGCTTGCATCCCTCACACTGGCCAGTTGATTCTCATTGGGTACAGTCAGTCACTAGGGAGTTTGGGTCAACATGAGTCAGTGACTCGGGGGGGCCCGATCTTAGGCCCCTTTCCTGGAAAAGCATCTTTCATCGAACGGCAGGATTTTACAAATGGCAGAATGCAAGTTCATTTTTCACCCTCCTGTGATTGACTGGCTTGGGAAAATTTTTAGCTCCTCCCACTTCCCCAGAAAAATGGTTCGTGCAGAACTGTCGTCATGGTTCTTAGGGTCATGAGATACTGGGGCGTTTTTCTCCCAGAATGGGGGCTTGAACCCAGGGCACTGAGTTACATCTCCACTGAGATGGAGTCTCCTTGTGTAGCCTAGGCTGGCCTGGAACTCGCCAATCCTCCTGCCTCAGCCTTCCAAGTGCTTGGACGACAAGCATGCAGCACCACACCCAGCTAAAACAATTATTTTGAGACAGGTCTTGCTAAATTGTTAAATTGCCCAGGCTGGGCAATTAAAATGTTCCTACCTCATCCTTGCAAAATGCTAGAGTTATGGGCATGTGTCACCATGCCCAGATGACTCTGGCTTCTTCTGTTCTTTTTTTTTTGTACTAGGTTTCACTTTTAGTGCAGGCTGGCCTCGAAAAAGCCAGCTCTCAGGCTGGATTGGACTCACTGCAATCCTCTGCATCTCAAGTGCTGGGATTACAGGAGTGTGTCACCCGGTCTGGCGGTCATGTGTATTTGATGGAACTCACCACTAAGTATGAGTGGGAGGACAAAGGGTGAGCAGGAGCAGAAAGTATTAGAGAAACAATTACGAGGTGAATGTCCTGTCTTCCTCATAACACCAACCTTGTACTGAAGGTGGCTGGGGCACAGCATATCTCTGTCTTTCCTTTTCTCATTCAAATTTAAAAGAAAAACATTGAGATGCCACTGGCAACATTAGCAATCAGTAGGATTTCACAGAAAAGGAAACAAACAGCGTTTATCTTCACTAAAAATCAAATCAAAACAGCTTTGAGGGGCAATTTTCATTTTTATCAATGTCACAGGATTTTGAAAAAATAGTAACAGTTCTGGGAACAAGATCTTAAATTGGCATCCTCGAACTAGTGGTGTTTTAGAGGAAAGAAATAAATATCTTTAGGAGGCATAAATAGGAAAAAGAGAGCCAGGCATGGCTGCACACACACCTTTAATCCCAGAATTGGGAGGCTGAAGCAGGATTGCCAAGAGTTTGAGGCCAGCCTGGGAAACATAGTGAGTTCAAGGCCAGTTTGAACAACATAATGAGACCCTGTGGAGAACAATTGAATACTACATTAAAAAAAAAAAAAAAATTGCTTTGTGGTTACGGCAAGGTGAAAGATCCAACTTTTATTTTTTTGTTAGGGCTCTGAGTAATTTTTGAAAAGTGGAGGAGGGGGCCGAGGGCTGATATCCGTCACGCCCCCCCTTGTCCTCAGCCCACAGAGGGGCCACATAGGTCGGCTCCGCCAGGTTGCGCTCACAGCGCCTGGCCCGACGCCTCACGTGTATCAGATGTTTAGGAAATACGTGTTCAGTGCATATGGGAGCGTGCCCGGACGTAGACTCAAGCTGTGGCTCCTGGATCCTCTCCATTCCTGGGAATAAGGAGGAACTGGTTTTGCTGGGGGGGAGATGAAGGCCCATCCATAACGGCAATTCCCTGGGCTTCTTGGTTAAGTGAGTTTGGGCATGGACAGCCCAGGGAGAGACAGTCTGTGAAAGAAAACCCAATTACACCGAGGAACATATGTTGCCCCGAGGCCTCTGCTGCCATAACAACATCATGTAACTATAACGACAGCCCTGGAGGGCTCTGGCCCTGTCAAATATGGAAAAGGATGTCTTCATCTAGAGACAGCTCTGCACTCAGGCAGAATTCCCGGGGGGGGGGGGGGGGGGGGGGGGGCGTGGACCAGAACAGGGAGGCAGATTGTGGAGGGGGGAGACAGAGAGGGTGGGGAGAAGAGCTGCTCCCCAGGCAGACCAGAGTGATTTTTTTTTTTTTTAGCAATTTCAAAAAAAAAATTTTTTTTGACTGTTTAGCTTTAGTAGTTATTTATAACCCCAGCTGCAGAGGTGGGGCACTGTGCCTGAGCCTGCTGGGATCTGTCCAGTAACTTCCCCCAGGTAGGCTGGGGGCGCCGGTAAGGGGGAGGCACAAAGCACATCAACCAGGGCCCCAAGGTAAAAGTCCTGCGGGGCCACACCCAGCGACGAGGGGCCATCAGTGACTGTTTTTTGAGACAGGACTTGCTACATATTTCAGGCTGGCCTTGAATTATGTAGCCCAGGTTGGCCTGGACCTCCTGCCTCAGCCTCTGGAGCACTGGGGTGACAGGTGTGTGCCACTAGGCCTGTCTTTCTGCTGTTTTTAAGGCAGCTATAAATGAAAAGCTTTTAACACACATCGTGGCCTTGTCCGCAGCCACCAGTACTCCATTCTCCCAAAGCCAGAGAGACCCTTACAGCAACCTGCAAGGTGACCAGCAGTGACCCCAATCACAGATTCGAACACTAAGGTACACAGAAGTTTAAACACTTGTCCAGCACGGTAGACGCCTGCGATTCCAGCTTCCTGGGAGGCAGAGGCAAGGAGATGGCAGGTCTGAGGCCAGCCTTGGCAGCTTAGCGACACCTGGTTCCAAAATAAAAAATAAAGGCCGGGTGTGGTGGTGCACACCTGTAATCCCAGCACTCGGGAGCTTGAGGCAGGAGGATCCCTGTGAGTGCAAGACCAGACTGAGCTACAAAGTGAGCTTAAAGCCAGCCTGAGCTGCATAGTGAGACCCTGTCTCAAAAAGACACACACATCTATATATGCTACCAAGGTAGCTCAGTAGTAGGCGGCTCCTGTTCTCTTGCTAACTGCTGCTTCCTGCCTGCCACAAACTGCTTTTCTTCTCTATGCTGCTGTTTTTTGCTTTGAGACAGGGTCTTGCTATGATGTAGTGTTATGCTACCTGATTAGAACTATTCTTAATTCTTTTTGGGTACTGAGGATTTGAACCCAGGGCCTTCACACTGAGTCATAGCTGAAGCCCTTTTTTCTTTGGCGGAACCGGGGATTGAACTCAGGCCCTTGCGCTTGCCAGGGAAGCGCTTTTTCCACTGAGCCATCTCCCCTGCCCCCTTTTTTTCTTTCTTTCTTTTTTTTTT